GCCTTGTTCCAGGTGTATCCCATCCCTGTCCGTTTCCCAGGTGGATCGCTCCTCGTTCCCGTGCGGGTGTTCCCGGGACGGCTGCGGAAACGCCTCCGGGCGGATCGAGTTCAACCCGCTCCGGGTCCGGACCCACTTCCTGCACACGCTGATGAAGCTGCAGCTGCAGAGCCGCCGGGAGGAGGAGGAGGAGGAGGAGGGTGAAGGGGGGGAGGAAGCATCGCCGGGTCCCCCCTGGGGTCCCCCGCAGCCCCCCGAGACTCAGGACTTCCAGGAGTACCTGGCGGAGAACGCGCGGGCCGTGCTGCACCTGCAGACGGCCGAGGAGCTCGAGAGGAGGAGGAAGGACGAGGAGGAAGAGTCGGGAGCGGGGGGAGAGGGCGAGGGGGGCGGAGGGGGGCTCTGCGTCCTGGGGGAGCACCTGGACGGCACCGCCTGGCAGGTGAGACCCGCCCCGGGCCCCGCCCACGGCCTCGGCCCCGCCCCGTTCCCGCCGGGAGCGCCCGGCCTGGGATTCCCCACGGAGCAGGGGGGGCCCCAGGTGAGCCAACAGGTGGGTCACCAGGTGAGCCCCCAGCTGTGCCCCCAGGTGAGCCCGCAGGTGGGTCCCCAGGTGAGCCCCCAGGTAGGTCCTGAGGTGTGCCCCCAGGTGAGCCCCCAGCTGTGCCCCCAGGTGGGTCCCCAAGTGAGCCCCCAGGTGAGCCCGCAGGTGGGTCCCCAGGTGAGCCCCCAAGTAGGTCCCGAGGTGAGCCCCCAGGTGTGTTCCGTGGTGAGCCCCCAGGTGAGCTCCCAGGTGGGTCCCCAGCTGGGCTCCCAGGTGTGCTCCCAGGTGAACCCCCAGGTAGGCTCCCAGGTGAGCTCCCAAGTGATCTCCCAGGTGAGCTCCGAGGTGAGCCCTCAGGTGAGCCCCCAGGTGTGCCCCCAGGTGAGCTCCCAGGTAGGTCCCCAGGTGAGCCCACAGGTGTGTTCCCAGGTGGGTCCCCAGGTGAGCTCCCAGGTGAGCCCCCAAGTGAGCTCCCAGGTGGGTCCCCAGGTGAGCCCCCAGGTGAGCTCCCAGCTGTGCCCCCAGGTGTGCCCCCAAGTGAGCCCCCATGTAGGTCCCCAGCTGTGCCCCCAGGTGAGCCCCCAGGTGGATCCCCAGGTGGGTCCCCATGTGAGCCCCCAGGTGAGCCCCCAGGTGGGCTCCCAGCCCTTCCTGGCAGTGGAGCCCCAGGCAGGTGGGACAGGTGGGATTGGCCCCGAGGAGCCTCCGGCTCCAACCTGCAGCCCCTGTGGGAGGGACCTGGGGGTCCCACCTGCCCCCCCTGCTGAGAGCGAGGGGGGGGCTCCCCAAAACCCCCCGGAGCACCTGGAGCACCTGGAGCACCTGGAGCTGCCCCCCCTGCCCGTGTGAGCGGCTCCTCCCGCTCCGGTGTTTATTCCATGGATTGATCCTTTACCTGGGGCTGCTCTGCACGGGGGGCTCACCTGGGCCACACACCTGAGCTGGGACACACCTGAGCTGGGACACACCTGAGCTGG